TCCATTTATAATTATAGTACCAAATAAATTATGAAAATATATTTTATACATTTAAATATCTCTAGTTCATTCTGAGTGGGAAAAGCACTCAAAATACAAAAACATACTTCTTCCTATGGGGGAAAAAAGTATAGACTTGATTTGTTCTGAAAAACAGATTTCAGTTTTTAGAACAGTTTTATGTTCACAGCAAAACTGTGCAGACAGTATAGAGAGTTCCTGTTTATAGATTTAACGTATAGCTCCCAGAGCCTTATCTTCAATCTATTGCCATTTGACTTCTTCAGTCTTTAAAATCAGGACCATGAGGACTCATAGTATTCACGGTCATAATAAGCCAAGGCCTTTATCAGTCAGACTAAACTAAAAGATTAAAAAACGGCAACTGCAAGAAGGAGAACAGTTTGTTAGCACCTCAGCAACAGCCAGTACATCCATTCCAGCAGTGCTGTACTCACTGTGGGGGAACAGGAAGGAGAGAAAGAAAGAGGGAGAAGGTGGGGGGCTATGAATGAATGACTTCTGCTTTGTAGGAGTGAGGCTGGCAACATGATCTCAGCCACACTTGCACACTTCACATTTGAGGAAGTGAATAGTCTTGACACTCCATTTTAACAGTCTTTTGAGACAATTCCCATTAGCAGATAGAAACACACATCTCAAAATACACACTTTAAGTGTGTGAGAGTCCCCAAAGGATTAGGTTCAAGCAGTCAAAACATTTTAGTTCGCGTTGTAGCTTAAACTTCTCTTTTCCTTCTGAAAGTTGAGAAAAATACAAAAAGCATGAGGGGAGATGGCCTCTTAAGACATACCAGAGTCATTTATTTGACACAGTTAGAAATTACTGGATTCACTAAATATAACAGAAAATGTTTGGAGATGACACTATTATTGATAGATACTGAGAAAGGTGTTGCAAATTACACTGGTATAATGGAACAATTTGGTAAAGTTTGGTATGTTGCTGGAAGATATTTAATATATTCTAAAATGACAAAGGCAAAACAATATCACAGTGTTTAGCCTCTTTGTTAAGGATTTAGTTCATCAGTCAATGAGAGTAATTTATACACAATAACAATATAAAAATGAGACAAATTAGGAAGGTTGTAGAAATCCTATGGAATCCGTGGTGGTGGGAAAGGCAGCAAGGGAGTGAATTCTTATTTCCTGAGCAACTTGTACATTTAATCTTATGGAAACTACGAATCCGAAGCTGATCTTTCTTTCTTTCTTTTTATACTTGAGGAAGCTCAGAGTCAAATTTTCAACCCATCTCTTGTAAATAACAGGACATTTCAGCATGAACTTTACGTAATCTCCTGACTCCAGACATTATCTCTTTTTTTTCAACCAGTATTTTCCATTTTCTCTGCTTGTACAATCTATTTTTCTAATGCTGTAATACCATGTTTCCTTCTAAGCTACCTCAAACACAAGGCAAAGTATAAATACATAAATAAAATATTTTCAACTCCTACTATGTGCTAATCACAGTAATCCACGCTCTAAATAATTGCATTTAATATAGCAAACTGGAATATAAAATAAAATGTGACGTGATAACAATGTATATATGAGTACGTTTTGAAAAGCATATAGTTATATAGCTATGTTTTGAAAAGTATATAGTTAGGTATTAATACAGGTATGTTTATTGAAAAACATGAGGCTGGGTTTTGTTCATATTATATATTTATTTAAAAACATGAGGCTGGGTTTTGTTGATCAAATTCCTAACATCAGCTAGGTTTCCTATGATTGCTGCTAAACTTCAAAACAAGATTTCTAGCTAAATGAGATCTTTATTATAATCAAGAAGTGTAAAATTGATAAACTTTGCACAGAAAAACTTGGCGAAATCCCACAAGAATATAACAAGAATAACTCCCTTCACATAAAGACCTTGAAGGAACCTTGGTGACTAATTCTATTTATTAGTCTAAAACAAGCGATCATTCTTCTTCATAGAAGGCATTTCCCTCTTATTTACCTTTTCTGAAACAGAAGCAAAACCTTTGGTTGGATGCTGTGTTCTCATGTCAAAAACGTGGAACTTCCCTTCCAGAGATGTAGCTACTAACGTACTCATACTTATGTCTTTTCTGTCACAGTCCAAGCTACATACCTGAAAATAGAGAACATTATTGATAGTCACAATCATCTTTATTCAGAAGGCTCTTTCAAACTAAGTAAAACAGNAACGTGATCTCAGCCACACTTGCACACTTCACATTTGAGGAAGTGAGTAGTCTTGACACTCCGATTTTAACAGTCTTTTGAGACAATTACCATTAGCAGATAGAAACACATATCTCAAAATACACACTTTAAGTGTGTGAGAGTCCCCAAAGGTTTAGGTTGAAGCTGTCAAAACATTTTAATTTGCTTGGTAGCTTAAACTTCTCTTTTCCTTCTGAAAGTTGAGAAAAATACAAAAAGCATGAGGGGAGATGGCCTCTTAAGACATACCAGAGTCATTTATTTGACAGATTTAGCAATTATTGGATTAACTAAAGACAATAGAAAATGTCTGGAGATGACACTATTATTTATAGATAATGAGAAATGTGTTGCAAATTACACTGGTATAATGGAACAATTTGGTAAAGTATGGTATGTTGCTGGTAGATATTTAATATATTCTAAAATGACAAAGGCAAAACAATATCACAGTGTTTAGCCTCTTTGTTAAGGATTTAGTTCATCAGTCAGTGATAGTAATTTATACACAATAACAATATTAAAATGAGACAAAATAGAAAGGTTGGAGAAATGCTATGGAATCCGTGGCGGTGGGAAAGGCAGCAACGGAGTGAATTCTTATTTCCTGAGCAACTTGTACATTTAATTTTATGGAAACTACGAATCCGAAACTGATCTTTCTTTCTTTCTTTTTATACTTGAGGAAGCTCAGAGTCACATTTTCAACCCATCTCTTATAAATGGCAGGACATTTCAGCATGAACTTTACGTAATCTCCTGACTCCAGACATTATCTCTTTTTTTTTTAACCAGTATTTTCCATTTGCTCTGCTTGTATCATCTATTTTTCTAATGCTTTAATACCATGTTTCCCTCTAAGCTACCTCAAACACAAGGCAAAGTATAAATAAATAAATAAAATATTTTCAACTCCTACTATGTGCTAATCACAGTAATCCACGCTCTAAATAATTGCATTTAATATAGCAAACTGGAATATAAAATAAAATGTGACGTGATAACAATGTATATATGAGTACGTTTTGAAAAGCATATAGTTATATAGCTATGTTTTGAAAAGTATATAGTTAGGTATTAATACAGATATTATAAATTTATTAAAAAACACGTGGCTCGGTTTTGTTGATCAAATTCCTAACATCAGCTAGGTTTCCTGTGATTGCTGCTAAACTTCAAAACAAGATTCCTAGCTAACTGAGATCTTTATTATAATCAAGAAGTGTAAAATTGATAAACTTTGCACAGAAAAACTTGGCGAAATCCCACAAGAATATAGCAAAAATAACTCCCTTCACATAAAGACCTAGAAGGAACCTTGGTGACTAATTCTATTTATTAGTCTAAAACAAGCGATCATTCTTCTTCACAGAAGACATTTCCCTCTTATTTACCTTTTCTGAAACAGAAGCAAAACCTTTGGTTGGATGCTGTGTTCTCATGTCAAAAACGTGGAACTTCCCTTCCAGAGATGTAGCTACTAACTTATTCACACTTATGTCTTTTCTGTCACAGTCCAAGCTACTTATGTCTTTTCTGTCAAACTCCAAGCTACATACCTGAAAATAGAGAACATTATTGATAGTCTCAATCGTCTTTATACAGAAGGCTCTTTTAAACTAAGTAAAACAGCTTTTTTTTTTTTTTCTTTTTTTGTGACTGGTAAGGGAATCGCAACCCTTGGCTTGGTGTCGCCTGCACCCCGCTCAGCCAGTGAGCGCACCGGCCATCCCTATATAGGATCTGAACCTGTGGCCTCGGCGCTCCCAGTGCCGCACTCTCCCGAGTGGGCTACGGGGTCGGCCCAGTAAAACAGCCATAAAATGATCAGATCACGTGAAAGCACTTAAATAATCACTTTATCTTTTGAATCAAGACATCAAGCACTTTTACTGTAGAAAAATTTCTTCTCGGTCAATAAGACCAACAAAACCATCTTGGGTTCCCATATTCAGTGAATGCATTTGGAAAGTCATAATTTAACTTTTTACATTATTTAATACAGTTAAGTCAAGGCTGACTTTAGAAAATATGAGGGAACTATATTCTTTACTAAAGATGCACAACTCAGTAACCAGAAATCTGGGGCTACTTGGGGAGGCAGTTACTATTTTAGGCTTTCTGATATTAGCAGAAAAAGGCCTCTCATTTTCTCATTTTGATATCACACTGCCTGACCCACAGGGGTCCACAGCTGGGACTCAGGGGCTGGTGACACCTCTGGCATTGTACATACCACATCTGGGTGTGTGTTCACTTTCTGAAGAGAAGTTCTATGATTTTCATTAGATTCTCAAAGGAGTCTGGCCCCAAAAGGTTATGAACTATTAGCAGAGGGGTTGACTGAGATGGTTTAATAGAGGTATTTTTTTAATAGTAGAAGTAGTTCAGAGGTGAATGAAAAGATGCTCAGAGAAACTAAAAACCACTGGAATATACATTACCCCATTTTTTATATTTGTCTCCCACCGTAATGACATATTTCTGAGATCAAATAGTTTGATATCCCCATTGTCATAGCCAGCACAAACAACACGTTCCTCTTGATTATAAGCATTGCCTGGAAATCAGGATACAACATTTCAGATCTTTATAAAAGCGAATTTGAAGGCTGCTAAAAAAAATCTTATGAAACAACATAGATGAGGGTACTTCAAAAAATGTTCACAGAAAGATTTTCATTACCTTTTAATTCTATTTTCCATGAACTTTTTGAAGTACCCTCATATAATTTATACTAAATTGGATCTTAAAAATCATATTAGGTAAAGTTCCATTTTACCAATCCTGACAGGACATCAAGATTATTAATTTGGTATCTAATATTGAATTTTTTTAAAAAAGCTCATTCATGGGCCAGCCCGGTGGCGGACTGGATAGTGCGCCGCTTGGGAAGTGCAGCGGCGCTCCCGCCGAGGGTTCGGATCCCACATACGGACCGGTTCCCGCTCACTGGCTGAGCGAGGCGCGGGAGCAACACCAAGGGCTGCGATCCCGTTGCCGGTCCCTGGTCCGGTACGGTGGCGACACTGAGGGTTGCGATCCGTTGCCGGACACGGAAAAAGACCAAAAAAAAAAAAAAAGCTCATTCATTTAAATTCTGTACTGAAGGGATATGTGAAAGTGTTTCGTGGATTCTAAGTTGAAATAACATGTTCTCTCTGTATTATATCTGCAAAGACCAGCAGGTCAACCACAGGTCAAACACAGCAGGGAACGGAAAGATAAATACAGCAATTCTTCTATTACCTTCTTTGTCAGTAACTATCCATGAAAGCAAATAAAAATGACTTTAAAACTAATCTATTTTGCAAAATGTTTTTGTGGTGCTATTTTGTTTTTGCAAGGACATCTGAAATATCTTATATTTCAAATTGTACTTATGTCCCTGAGATTGACAATGACGAGGCTTTAATGGGCCCAAAGATAATTACTTTTTAATTATAATTTCAATTTAAAACGATCATTCTACCTAAAATTTCCCCCCCGTTGTATGTTTAAAAATGCTTAAAATGATAATCTTTATGTTATGCATGTTTTACAACAATAAAAAAAAATGAGGGGAGAAAAAAACAAAAATCAAAAAAATCCTAAATATGTTTTATAGCCTTTAGTAGCAAAAATGAATTTAAGATCAATTTGGTGCTCAGCAAGAGAGCCAAGGGCAAATATCAATTAGTCCTACAAAATTAATATTCACTAATGGAGGAACACAGTTAAGTGCATTAATAGTGGAACTTACTTACCAAATTTATAAGAAATAATTTTGTAATGGCAAACTATTCTGTAGAAAGTAAGCATAATGTAAAGTGTAAGGTTTGTTAGGTTACCATTTACATTTGAGGCTCGGTGTAGCCCCATTAATGGCATTTGGTTCTAAACTAGATCAATATCATCCAATTAAACAGGAGCACATAATAATAATAATAATTATAATACTAAATATTTTTGAGCACTTAATAATCTAAGCACAATTCCAACCACTTTACATGTATTAACTCACTGAATCCTTATAAAAACATAATTAAGTCAATTCTATTATTAATTCCATTTTATAAATGAAGCAACAAAGGAACAGAGAAGTTTGGTAACTTGCCCAGGCCACACAGCCAATAAGTAGCAGAGTGTGGCCCCAGAGGCTAACAATAACCATCATGTACATTTGCTTCAATAAACTATCAGAATAAATCCACAAAATAGACTATAAAGAGACTCTTAGGAATTTCTTAAAGCATGGTGCTTTCTACCACCTGATACTTCAAATGCAAGAATTCTTCAATAATTTACCAAAACCCACAGTCCAACAGTCTCTCTTGTTTTCTCCTTGTACAGGTTCCATATTAGCAACAGGATCATCTTTTTGCCTTGGGTCCCACACCTTCACAGTTCCTGTCATAAGTAAAAGTAAGTTGGCAAAATTCAATAATGAATGATCATGTTTCTTTTCTGCATTCACTTTCTGTGGCTTCCTGTATACATGGCAATATTACAGATGTTATGACATCTGAAAAATATTCACACTTTTCTTATTTCTAATTGGGTAAGTTGTATTTGATATCAGAGATAAAACCTACATGTTGCTGTCTGACTTGATTTTCAAATCAGTAGATACACAGAAAGCTGACAATTCTTCCTAAGTTATCCATACATTATGATTAATGACGCAAACACAAATGTTATATAATTCATAACATGCCTTATTTTTTTTGTTTGAGCCTAAAACTAATGTATTATTTATTAACAATAATACCAGTATCATTTATTTTTTTTCTTACTACCCATATAAACATTGGCATTTTTCTTATACAGATCAATAAACTCTAATTTTGAATTATGGCTTCTCATATGGGGTTCTGGAATACTATTTCATATACAAGAGAGTTTGGAGGGAAATACTAAAGTTAAGAAACACTTCTGAATTTAATTTCAATTCTTTTTTTTTTTAAAGATGACCAGTAAGAGGATCTTAACCCTTGACTTAGTGGTGTCAGCACCACGTTCTCCCAAGTGAGCTAA